TTTCCTAAGAGCTTTTCAGGGACTTTTACATTAGTAGGTAGTAATTTTATTATCTGCATGTTTTAAAACAAAGAAATAGAGGTTTGGGGCAGGTGAGTTCCTTGAGGAAGGCCCCACAACTGATAAGTAAGCTAATAAGTGGAGTTCAAGGCAGGGAAGTCCAATTTCAGAGCCCTTTGTCCTCTGAACTGCAATAACATCCCAGGTCCCATCATAGTATTTTCATCAGGGTCATTGCCATGTAAGACTGCACATACCCTCAAGTTTACTATAAAGGAAATCAATATTTAGAAATATCTAGTAGACTATGAGGCATGAGGCATTAAATTGTATGGTAGTTATACCTATTTCAGTTAAAGAGAAGGTGAGGTGAAATGAGAGTTGTAGCAAATCAGGAAGACACATGAAAGAGAATGTGAGAGTCTGGAAGAATGTTAAGATTTGGGCAGTCAGGGGGTGGACAGTGTATTTCAGGTTAGGAAGAAACATTGTAAAAACATTATTAGACTTTCTTTTTTTAAAAGAGAGAGAGAGAGAGAGAGAGATAATTTTTTAATATTTTTTTTAAGTTCTCGGCGGACATAACATCTTTGTTTGTATGTGGTGCTGAGGATCGAACCTGGGCCAATCGAACCYGGGCCGCACGCATGCCAGGCAAGCACGCTACCACTTGAGCCACATCCCCAGACCCATGAATAGACTTTCTAAGAACATTCTAAGACCTTTTTCTGGTGATGGGAAGTGGCGGGCAGAACCATACCCCTAAACACCCATACCATCCATGTTCCTTACTTTCATTATGAATTGGGTCAGCTAGATAAAGCTTTGCTTTATCTATCACAGTTAACCTTGCTATAGATTGATTGGAAAAGGGAATGGGAATCCAATTCCCATTTCAATTTCCCAGAATTGGAAATCTAGCTAAAAGGCTTTTCTGGGCATTCTGTAATAAAATGAGGATTTCTGTGATGACTGAGTTCAACTGAGACACCTAGCCTTCTGCCAGTTCTCAGCAGAGAGGAGGCAAATTTTGTGGGTATTAAGCTGCAGTTAATTGCTTTAATCTGAAACAACAGTTTCCAATTAAACTGTGCTTCAGARGAACACCTTTAATGTTTAAATGTGTATGAGTTGATTTACCTTAGTATTCACCTTTTTCTATATTAACTGAACCACAAAAAACTGCAAAAGCTAGAAGTCAAGTGGTCTTCCAAGTGACTTTTAGCTGGCAGCTCCTGAGTCCCTAAAAGGAGGTGTCATGCCTATTCTTCCTGCTATGGATTTTGGATCCAAATCAGTCCTTTTTATGGAAAGGGCTCTTCCCACTTCTCTTCTTTCCACATTATTTGTTCCATTGCCACAAATACTGCTGGATTTTATTCACTGTGTAATCTCTTTCACTTCTTTCCTCTTGACACAGTAGAAGGTGGAAGGATAAAGACATATTCAGCCTATGTATCAAAACATGTTTCAGTTGTAGGACTTTTTGATAGTTCATAGTTTCCTTCATGTCTGAACTGCTGTTTAGAATTTCCTGCTTTACCAGTTTGTGATGAGATAGTGACAAAGTATCACAGGTTTTGAATTAAATCAACTTATTTCATAGAGGTCAGCCTTGTAGTTACTGAAAAGATTGAAATATACCAATGTTYATTTATGTAGAATCTCTTAACAGTAAGCCTTTGTAAATTGTCCTAAACTCTGGTTTAGACTTCCCAGCTTGCAACACATGGCCTGTGTGATTTTTTAATTATAGCTTCTTTTATTGTCTCATTATATTTTTATTTTCAATCCAATATGTAGTTTCTGTTAGACTAAACAGTCCTGGGAGAGTCTAAGGACACCTTGTCTGAGGTCATAGAAGAAATTTGGGAGTGTTGGAATAGGAAAAAAAAAATCCTAGAAGTGAGGAAACAAACTTAGAAGAGTCACTTGACCAAAAGCTATAAAGTGATAAGGCAGGATAAAAACACAGAATCCTAACAAATGAAATATGTTGGATGAGATGAGTCTGTTTCATTGTAAACAGTGACACTCATAGTATAAAAAGAGAAATGACCTGCAGGTCTTACAGCTTCATATCTTCATTCTTTAAAGATTAAAGTGAAGCCAGGTGTGGTGGTGCACACTTATAATCCCAGTGGCTCTGGAGGCTGAGGTAGGAGAATCACAAGTTCAAAACCAGCTTCAGCAACAGTGAGGTGCTAGTAACTCAGTGAGACCCTATCATCTCTAAATAAATAAAATACAAAATAGGGCTGGGAATGTGGCTCAGTGGTCAAGTACCCCTGAGTTCAATCCCTGGTACCCACCACCCCTCCAAAAAACAAATTAAAGTGAAAAAGGAAATTGCTTAACATTTTTAAACAACCTGAGGTCTAGTTTTCATTGAAAGCACCATAGCAACTTGGTTCTTCCCTTCCATGGCATTTTTTTTTAACTGTGAAACGAGACTGGAATTGCACTTAGGGAGACTTGATGCTCAGTAAAGAAAGTTAATATTTAAAAGGAGATTATCAAATTCCAAAATAAAATCAGTTTATAAAAAAATTTGATAAAACCCAACCTGAAATTCATATAGTATTCTGTTTAAAATGAGGAGAAAACTTGAATGGCCAGAAATTTCAAATGGATCAAAATAAGTTTTTTTAAAAATTATATTTTCATCATAAGTAAATCAAAAAAAATCTGTGGATAAATGTTTGAGTTCACTGAAAATTGCTTTCATAGATAAAAATTTAAGAAAAGTTAAAGGAGCTGGGCTTGGTGGCACACATCTGTAATCCCTACCAAAAAAAGAAAAAAGAAAAAAGTTAAAGGAAATATTGGAAATAATGAATACCCTACCTATGTCAATGTAATTCCTAGAGGACAGTAGGTCACTAAAATATGCTTTTAAATCTGAGTTTGTACAAACGCAGCACTAAGCATGTCTTGGGAGAAACACTTGTTCATATCTTTTTCATTTTTTATAACATCAATAAAAACTAAAACGTGTTGCTTAATAATTATTATTTTAAATATAATTTTTCTAACAAAGAGTTTAATGAGTAAATGCTACAATAAGAAAGGAAGTAAGAACTCTACAGGAGAAAGCACATCATATGAATTAAATGTTCAGGATCCATCAAAGGACACCTACAGCCCTGCCCTCTCACCTTAGACAATTTGGGAAGCATCCTGTATAAAAGTGTCAGAGCTAATTCCTGAATTGCTCATTAGAGATTTCTTTTTTAATTTTCAAAGAGAGATGGAACTCTTACTAATGTATGTTTTTATCCCAGTATTTTGACCATGAGGGCTTCTGTAGTAAATGATCTATCAGCAAGTGTGATGCTTCTCTCTTATTATAAAGTGCCCCTCCTGGCCAGTGCAGTGGTGCACACCTGTAATCCCAGCAACTCTGGAAGCTAAACCAGAAGGATGGCAAGTTCGTGGCCAGCCTCGGAAACTTAGTGAGACACTGTCTCAATATGAAAAGTAAAAAGG